CATAAACATGACACTACCCCCGGGGTTTACACAGACGAGCCGGCGAAGCAAGAAGAGCGCCAGAAGAAAGGGCCCTAGCCGGCGGGGCCCAGCCAGGACAAAAGGAGGTCCCACAAAGCGCCTACACCGGCCGCATTTGCGGTCGGGGTAGACGACGGATGGGGCCCACCTACGAAGGCTGTCCAGGCCTACACGAGATGAGGCAGGATAAAGAGGGATAATCCCCCTCGATCCCAAATCATTGAGGCCAATTTCTAGCCATAGAATAATGGCAATTATCCGCACGCCATCTACCAACCATCTACAAGTACTAATCTTCGGTCTTCGGTTCTAAAACTGTAATATGAGCAAGGGCTTAAGACGCATGATACACGATACAGTTGACTTTGTATTAAGAGGCCCTTTCGATTCGGCAAAAATAGTAGCTATTAGTAGCTAATATCAACTTAGAGTTACTCTGAACTGATATGTGTTGCTAATAGGGACTATTTTTGCCAAAGCGAAAGCCCCCCAAGGTCAAAGTCTTTGTTCTACTGCCTTAACAGTGGCGCACCCAAGGGGAAAACGAGGGACCATAACCACTACACTTTCGAATTGACGCTGAAAACTAAAACAAAAAACAATTTAACAGGAGAAACCTTAGAGGTATTTAAAATATCATAGTCTGTCAGGTAGTTATGCCGTGACCTGTATATGTACCTGTAGAAAAAAGAAAAAAATATGTATATAAATACGATATACGTAATATACATACAGGGTGATTCATTAATAATGGGAAAATCGAAAGCTGAAGATACTACACGTGAAATGGTGATCATTGGCGCAAACATGCCTTATCCGAAAGTTGATAGTTTCGGAAATACAGGTTGTTGAAAGTTAAAATTTTAAATCGTTTTTTTTTTGCGATTATTCTGAAAATATGTAGGTTAGGAACTTGAAAATTTGTGAAACTATATTTTTTAAACGAAGAATAAGATGCGTGTTCCAATTTCAGCGTTACTCATAGAGGGCGCCACTTACGACCAATTTTACCGAAAATTTAGTTAATAACTTTTTACCCTGTTTGTCTAACATGAAATTTGATTCAAAATCTGAAAGAGCAATTATTTTTCCATTAATTATGTATTCTTGTTTCATTTCGGTATATCGATCCGTTTTCGAGAAAAATCGATTTAACCGCGCGCCATTATTCCATGGCTAGAAATTGGCTTCAATGATTTGGGATCGAGGGGGATTATCCCTCTTTATCCTGCCTCATCTCGTGTAGGCCTGGACAGCCTTCATAGGTGGGCCCCATCCGTCGTCTACCCCGACCGCAAATGCGGCCGGTGTAGGCGCTTTGTGGGGATTTAACCAACACTATGTTTTGATAATACGAGAAATTAAAAGCGAAACAAACTAAGTGTTTCTTCGTGTTATTACAACAATTAACCATAAAACAAATGAAATTCGTAATAATGATTTAAAGTCAGTGTTCGAAGAATACACCGTTGACATTTACACACTTTACACAACATTTTCTGAGAGATCTTCAGTTTGAAACAACGTATTGGGATTGCGTTTTACTTCGTTGGCAGCGATTTGTATTCTTTGCCACAACTCTTCACACGAACCAATAGATTCTTTGTAAACTATATCTTCCATTCGAGAATAAATAGAAAAATTAAGAGGATTGAAGTCCAGACTTCTGGGTGGCCAAGCAAAAATGCTTCCACGGCTTGAAGAAGTTCCACTATATTTAAGAAGAGATATGTGGTTTATGCACGACGGAGCTCCATCGCATTTTTCTCGGCCAGTGCGTGCATATTTAGATGCAGTTTTTCCAAATCGCTGGATTGACCATGTAAACATGTTTGCTTGGCCACCAAGAATTCCGGACTTCAAACATCTTGATTTTTCTATTTGGTCTCGAATGAAAGATATAGTTTACAAAGAATCTATTGGCTCGTGTGAAGAGTTGTGGCAAATAATACAGATCGCTGCCAACGAAGTCAGACGCAATCCCAATATGTTGTTTCAAACTCGAAGATCTCTCAGAAAACGTTGTGTAAAGTGTATCAGTGTCAACGGTGGATTCTTCGAACAATTACTTTAAATCATAATTACGTATTTTATTTGTTTTATTGTTAATTGTTGTAATAACGAATAAAAATTTGGTTTGTTTCGCTTTTAATTCCTCGTATTATCAAAACATACTGTTCGTTAAATCGATTTTTCTCGAAAACGGATCGAGATACCAAAATGAAACAAGAATACATAAGTAATAGAAAAATGATTGATCTTTCAGGTCTTGAATAAAATTTCATGTTAGACATACATGATAAAAAGTTATTAACTGAATTTTCTGTAAAATTGGTCGTAAGTGGCGCCCTCTATGAGAAATGCTGAAATTACAACACGCATCTTATTCGTCGCCTAAAAAAATATAGTTTCACAAACTTTCAAGTTCCTAACCTACATATTTTCAGAATAATCGCAAGAAAACGATTTAAACTTTTAACTTTCAACACCCTGTATTCCGAAACTATCAACTTTCGGATAAGGCATGTTTGCGCCAATGGTCACCATTTCACGTATAGTATCTTCAGCTTTCGATTTTCCCATTGTTAATGAATCACCCTGTATACAGAGCATTCATAAATGTTTACAATCCACGTGACCGCCGAACTTAGGCAGTAAACATTGCGGGACCGATGCTGATAATGAAAAATTCCTAAATCTTGGCGTTTCCAATATTAATGATTCGTTGCGTTTACGCTCGAGAACGCTGATTGGTTGAATAAAATCTCTTGAAAAATTAAAATTTTAATGTAATCTTGATCTTATTGTTCTAATTTTATCGAAATTTAATTGCCAACGTGAAGGAAATAAAATCACTGTTCCAAACAAAATTACTGATACGTGGCTTGTAATCATTTATGAAGGTTTTTTACATAAAAATGATGTCACCTTTTTTTCAATTCGGCCCCTTCTATTTCCTCTGGGTGCGCCACTTGTGTTCAAGCTGTTATTTAGCTGTGTCTAATAGTCTATTCAATTATTATCCAGTTCATCTAAATTTTGATTACTCTTAATTTAATCCTAGATGTTATTTCAATAACGTTTTATGTTTACCTAATATTTCCTATTCATTTTAATTTTGGTTCATATCAGATAGGTACCTATCTCTGTATCTAGTTGCGCATGCACGGATAAAAATAACCTTTTACATTAAAAACTTTTATTTTATGTATCTAGTATCAAATAATAAAAAATAATAAAAATTGTAGACATCTCCTGCAAGCTTCCGAATGTTATGCGCAGTAAAATTAATAATTATACATACATTTAATCAAATCACATAAACATTGTTTTGTTATGCAGTGTATCTGTATATGCGGCTGCGGTATTGAAGTTGTTGGAAGTTTTGTAGCATTTCTCATTCCTGATTTATTTTCTGATTGGTGGGTCGAAAATAAATATCCCTATTTTAAAGTCGGGTACATGGTTACTAAAAACGTGTTAAATTACAAATAATCTCAATTCAAGTTACAGTGTAGGAGCACATAACCTAATTTCTAAATTCCAGTGATAATTTTGGAACGATATTAAATAGTACCAAGATGGATGATTATGCCCAAATACAGAAACGTGCAGATACTGTTGGAAAGAAATGGTATAGACATGCAAAACAAAGGTAAGCGAATAGTTTTCTTTATAGAGTATTTTGATTGAATTAATCAAATCAGGGGAGCTAAGCTTAAAGTGGTTTTAGATTTGCGTTACAAATCGCGATAACTGCCTTAAGAAATATACACGTGTAGGTAGGTACCTATCTACCTATTTATGATAAAGTTTCTACACTTAATTTCCATTTGTTCTCAATTCATTAACATTCAAAAAATAACTATTCGAATTATTTCATAGAAACCCATCCTAATAATACTTATCTATATCTCTAATAAGGATGTTGTAAAATATACCTATTTATTTGAAGCAAAATTTTTGATTTGCCTACAATTTTATTTCTGTCAGATTATTATTAAACTTACAAGTTTATTAAAATAATTCATTTTCATAATCGTAATTTTATTATCTGTTATATACAGGGTGATTGTTTCATCTATCATCTATATCTATCTATTCAACATAGGTATTGTAATTTCATCCCCGCTCCATAATCATTTCAGCTCAATCGTTACATTTAGTTGCGCCGAGAGTTGCGCAGTATTAAAAAGTTATGAAAAATTGTCATTAATAGAATGGGTGCCCATTTGAGTTTAATTTTAGAAAAATATGTTAGACATAAATGTATGGAATAACACTTTAAAGTAATCAGGCTGAGTATGTATCCCATTTTATCATAATAACAGCTACGTTATTTCAGGGTTAAATGTTAAGGTTAACGTTAACTGTTAAGATATAACGTGCACGTTATTGAGGAATTAAGACAATTTTTGTCAGCTCTTCGGCGACATACAAGTATCCCGACAGAGTTAAAAGTAAGATTACTACTTTAATTTTATTTTTTCTCAAGAGAACTGGTTCTAGGTTTTTGCAACAATCAACAATATTATTTTTAGCACAGGGTAGTTACCAGACTTGTGTTGGTGATAATTTTAATTTAGGGCTATGTCAAAAGTTAGTTAGTAACTGCTGAAGCAATTTTACATATTTAACATAACATATCCTAAAAAAACCCGTTACCCCAGATTTATGCGAACATTCAAATCTATTTGAAAATTATTCCTAAAAAACCGAAAAAAATAAAATGACTAACACTGTATATCGAAAACTAAGCATTTGTGAACCCATCATAGGAAAAAAGTCTTATTTTGACCTCAAAAATACGCCATTAAATTCTTTGTACTGAATTTTAAATCAGCCTGTTATAACTTCATAACATTCAGACATTTTTTTAACATAAATTATCCTTTGCTATCCCAGTATTAAAAGAGATCAAACTTACCTTTTTCCACTGTTCTGCAGTCTTTGAAGGACCTATGTTCAATAAATATTTCAGTAGCAAACTGTTGCCACAAAGCATTAACAAGATTCAATTTTGACGGCTTTGTTATTACATTTTCGTTTTTTATTACATAATCGAATTGCAATTTTGTTGTTTTTTGAAGACGCTTTTGTGTCGACATTTTTAATAATAATGATGCAAAATTATTATAAATATAACTGAAAGAGGTCTTTTAGTTTATGAAACATGAAACAAATGCAAACTCGTAAATAACGGGTAAGTACGACATAAAATAATTTGTAGCACGTTATCTTAAATTATAAGAGATTCTTAAAGGCAAGGAATTTGGTGTCGCTATAGTTTAACGTACGTGTTATTTGTCTAATGAAAATGAACGGCTTGTTAAATTTACATTTACTTGCCGGTTTTATAAACGCACATCGAAGGTAAGTTGTAAAATTTAAATAACTTAAGTATTTACCCTAAAATTATTGTTAGGTTAAATCAAAACATCAAACGAAGAAGGATCTAACAGGGAAACTACCCCAACCCGAACTTTCCGATTTCCAATATTTTTATATTTATGTTGTATAACATAAAAAATTAATTGACACATATTTTTTTTATTGGCGGAAAAACATATTTTGGGGGTGAAATACATCCTCAAAGTTCGCCCCCTAAAACAGTTTTTTCTAAATATCTGGGGATCTAACCAATATTTTGGAATGAAATAAAATGGAAATTGCTTCTTATCAAAAAACAAATGTTTCACATGAGATTCCGTGTTTGGGGGTTGCTACCCTTATTTTTTATTTCAGAAAAACTATATTTTTCAAATATTCTTTATATATGAAAAATTCATATTTGTTAAAAAACATTAAAAATATGATTTATGTAAACAAATTGACAAAATTAAGTTCTCTTTTTAGGGGGTGAACAACCCCCTAGCGTGCGAAAAATGTCTGTACGATTAGAATTAACATTGCAAAATAAAAATATATTTTTAATTTTTTGAATCAATATGAATTTTTTATATAAAGAAAATGTTTGAAAATATAGTTTTCCTGAAACAAAAAATGAGGGTTGCAACTTCCAAACACGGAATCACTATTGAAACATCTGTTTTTTTATAAGAAGTAATTCCCATTTCGTTTCATTCCAAAGTATTGATTAGAACCCGAGATGTGACAGAAATACTGTTTTTGGGGGTGAACATGAGGGGTAGTTTGCATCCGTTTAAATCTGTACAGACATTTTTCGCCCCCCTAAAAAGAGAACTTAATTTTGTCAATTTATTTACATAAATCATATTTTTATTTTTATTTAACAAATATGAATTTTTATATATAAAAAATGTTTGAAAAATAGTTTTTCTGAAATAAAAAACAAGGGTAGCAACCTCCAAACACGAAATCTCTAATGAATCTGTTTTTTTTATAAGAAGTAATTTTGCATTTTGTTTCATTCCAAAATATTGATTAGAACCCCAGATATTTAGAAAAAACTGTTTTAGGGGCGAACTTTGAGGGTGTATTTCACCCCCTATACATGTTTTTCCGCCGATAAAAAAATACGTCTTTTAAGTTTTTTATTTATGTGGTTTTTCTCCAAAATCCGTGCTCAATAAATTAACTTCAGTAGCAAACTTGTCAAAAAGCATTAATAAGTTTTAATTCTGATGACTTCGTTTTGCCGGTATGTAGTAGGTATTTTGTTTTTTACGTAATCAAGTATGTAAATACTCATATTATATTGCAATTTGGTTGTTTTTGGAAGGCGCTTTTGTGACGACATATTTAATAATAATAATAATGCAGAATTATACCCGACTCAATAGACAAAAACACATGCGACTAAGGCCGGTGTCCCATGCATCCGAATTCCGATGTACGATATCCGAAAATATTTTAATTCATACGAATTTATTACAAGATAAAGGTGAAACATTTTCAAATGTCAACCATAGGTATATATTATAGAAAATATACGTAGTATTATATTTTCTGCATTCGACATTATAATATAACATTTATTTGACTGTAAATATATCAAACAACAATCATAGTATGTTAAAAACTTAAAAAGTGAGGTTAAAAAACATACGATTTCGGATAAAAGTTAAAATTATTTCTACTTTTTCCGACGTCGTATGAATTTTAAAAAATTCGGATGAAAGAGAATGGTAAAAATTTGAATGTATATTAACCAATAGGAACACTTTTGAACCTTCGTATCGTGGGAATTCGGATGCATGGGACACCGGCCTAAGAGTTCTTTTGGGTTATGAAACATAAAACAAATACAACGTAGAGCGCAAACTCGTAAATAACAGGTATCTGTACAACATAAAATAGCGGCCGTTTTCTGTCTCATTTCATTACAATTAAATAACATAACGTCTGTTTCACGGATACTTACTATAAGATATACGTTATTAACAAACGTTATTTACAAACGTTATTTCTAACATAACGTTTTAACGTTATGGGATACATATTCGGCCTGATTATCTATCCGTTAAAACATTTTATCGACACGGTGCGGTGCAATCATGCTAACAAATTTTTTTTATAGAATTTTTGTGTGGGTTCTACATGTTTTTTTAAGTAGTAGGTAGGTACACCTACTACGTATGTTGCTGTAGATTTTAATAATGAAGGTATGATCAGAATAAAATAATTAAAAGATAACATGTATAAATAATTAAGAGATAACATTTATTTGATAATCTGGCAGGATTACTTGTGTGAAATCCACTTTTTCATAACCACCTTGATAAAATTGTAAAATTATCGATTTCAAAACATTTAAGTGTAAGGACACTTTCGTGTAAAATTAAATATACCGTTATATAACTATTTATAGATAAACCTATCAAAGAAAGCTGTGATGTTCACTTTCACATAAATACAGATGTTTTCAAACCCTATGATGACTATTTAAGATGTTAATCCAAATTAAATAGTTTATATTCATTAGTATACAGGGTGTTTCCTAAGTGTATGTCATAAATTAAGGGGGTAATTCCTTGGGTCACTTTAGGCCCAAGTAATAAACATGGCCCTAAAGTTACTGATTTCCAAGATTCCAAGATAGAGGCAGTTGAATTAATTAAAGGTAATAATTCGGTACATATTTAATAAAAAAGGTCTCTTGCACTTTCTTTATACAATAAATCATTTTCGAGTTGTAATTTTTTTGTTCATATTTAATTTTAAAGTAATTTCTAATAGGTATTACCTACATGGTTTAAAAAAAATGAAAGATCAGCAGAAAATTAAGCAGATTTAAGACAACGAATCATAAGTGCATGTCAGCAAGTCAGACAAATGCCAGCAAAATGAAAATTACCACAATTGGCAGCAACACAAGCGGCGAGCCTTCGCCTCAACGAGTATCATACATTTTCAAAAATTGCTGGCATTTGTCTGACTTGCTGACATCCATTAATGATTCGTTGTCTTAAATCTGCTTCATTTTCTACTTGTTTCATTTTTTTTAACCATTCAAATTGTTAGAAATTATCTTAAAATTAAATTTGAACAAAAAAATTATAACTCGAAAACTGGTTTATTTTGTGAAGAAAATGTAAGACCTTTTTTAAAAAAAATATGACAGTAAATTAAACGCGCCTATTAATTTTTCTGAAAATCCAGTGGCGTAGTTTTTCTGAAGGTTTTAATGACAGAGCTCCCCTGGAATAATGAAATAACTTCAGAGATAACTGA